TTAATAAACAGAAATGACTTCACTGAAAGACAGCGCCTACTTTTCAAATCAAGTTTGCCCCCTAGTGGACACAAAAGCCAATTACAGTCTGGCTTTCTACACAGTTTCACTAATCAGCGTGTTCTTAAAGAAATGCCCTCACCAAAATCTCAAAAGGGAATTCTTAATTCACAGAGACCCTTCACATTAAGAAAAGGTATTTCATTATCACTCCTCCAATGCTCATAAAAGCTACCTGCTGGCAGCACTTGGCTTATTAATTAAAATAACGTGCTTGTTAAAAGAACAATGTTTTAAAATGTCAAAGTACTCGAGTCTTCTGAGAACACTCGCCTGCTCAAAGTAAACAGGGCCGTGGAAAGCTGGAGAAAGTGGGGGGGAATTACCTTCTCCACCAAAGGTATTAACTGCTGGTACTCTGCCAGCGTCTTCAACAGCTCCATGATGAAAGGAAGGTAGTTGTGCTTTCGTCTAATATTTTCAATCTGTAAGAAAAAAATAAAAATAAAAAATCCGCATCCACCAATCTTTCTGGAAGGAGAATTACTTCTTCATGGACCGGCTTTCTGTAAGACCCGTCACATGCAACATTATGAAATTATTAGTGAAGAAGAGGCCCACCTTATATCTTTTTAGTTTCTGATTTTCTTCTTCAATAAGGAGCTGGTACTTGGCAATCTCTGACTGGATGGAGCTGAGGAACGTGCTGCTCTGGTCTGTGTCCATTGGTTCATCCTGGAAACAGAAGGCGGGAGAAGGTTTCCGTCCACTCACTGAATACTTGCACTCAGAACAAACGGTGATGATACTTAGATGAAACGCACGCAGCAGCTAAACCTCTGCAAACGGCTTTAATCACCAAGATATGGAAAAATAACACAGGCAACGATTTTATTAGTCTTAACAGAAGCAAGACACTAGATAATGAGCTGCAGTGAACAATATGTTTAGTCATTTTTACATTCTTCCACCCATCATTCAGAAAACTTTTGTGAATGTTAGGTGTGGTTAGTTACAGCAACATCCCATAACAGTGCACAGGACCATGGCAACGGACTAAAGCTTTCAATCAGAGAGAGGCCAGCTTTCTTTCATCACTCTCTTAAGACACCTGCTCTTCTCTGGCAGGCCCCACTTTGAAAACCCAAATAAAAACAGCTCAAACCTACGCCCTGCTATTCTGATCAGTCAGCAGGACCAGCCTGAACTAGGGCTGTTCGATATAACGATATATATCGGATGACGATATAAAAACATCTATCGTGTTGCAAAATAAACTGTTTACAGCAATATTTTTTCACTGTTTTGATGGTCACTGTAGTGGCCATATTAATTTCTCTCTTTCTCTTATATTTAATATAACCACACTACGGACAGACAAGCGCCTGTTTTTATGCGTTGTCGTTAGCAACAACGATGGTAAAACCATTGCGTGTCCGCTTGTTTATTTTCCACATAAACCTTTCACAATAAAGCTCAAGATCCTGTTGAGACTTTTCAAAATAAACTGAATCACGTGAAAGAGTTTGCAGAATGTTTACGGATGAGAAGCAAAAAAGAGCCGTCAGGTGCTAAAAAAATAAACCTTAGACTCAAACGTTAGAACAGGCTTTTCCCCGCAGCACGCCGTGTAATAAATACTCACAAACAAAACGGCGGCCGTTACAACTTATGTCTAAAAATGTATCATTTCATGCATCGGTTAAAACACTCGACTCCAGCTAAACGACGCCCAGCTGGAAACACTTCACACACGTCGAGCTGCCCGAGATTCACAGAATTTACAGAAAATGTTAAATTTTTGTGATTTATATCGTTATTGGGCGATAGATGTCTTATATCGGGATGTGAGATTTTGGTCATATCGCACAGCCCTAGCCTGAACTGTATTTAAATAAAGGTCAGCACAACAGCAACAAATAGGCCGCTTTCTAACAGCGCAAAAGGTGCCAAGTTGTATTTGTTCCAACTCTTTCATTTTAATTTGAAGTTCAAAGATTCTCCCTCTTAAAAAGGGGGAGCCGGGACTTAAAATCCATAACCCTTTACAAATCACAGATTTTGAGAAACTTCCAATCATTAACTGAATGTGAACAGATAAAGAAATGTCATGCAATTTGCTGATAAGCTGCTATCCATGTTTGGCTCATGTATCTGTGCAGCCCCTTTCATAAACATGAAATCCCATTGATTTCATAAATATGAAATCTTTCACTCATGTCAGGTCATGTGAACTCAATATTTTATCTAATATACGTTATCAAGCAGTGGAATAAGGTTTGACATTTTAACCAGTGTCAGAGCGTAAAGATCAGCCGTAGACAGTCTTAACCTCCTTTTCTGAAACAAGTTCCTACAAATGTTTGCCTTTAAAAGCTTTAAGAAACTAAATTTCTGTGCAGAGAGACTAAAAAAAAGAAACTGTCTCACTATTAAACAGAAGGAATGAGAAAAGGCCAGTTATGTTCAGCAGAGTATCCATTACTGTAAGATGATATGCAGTTGTTGTGTTGTTCAAAAAGTTGGGTTAACTTTTAGTTTTTACTCGTTTGAAACCAGCAGCCGATGTAAAACTTTTCCATGCTTGTCTTTTTGATGCAATCTCTGATCCTGAACCAATGAGCATAAATACTGACAGCTAAAAGGAGTCTTGAACCACAGCCAGAGCCACATGATGCTCTCTGCTCATCTTCAGTGGCTCACTGTGGTTTTTAATTAATAAGGGGGGGCAAAGAAAAAAAAAATAGACGAATATGACAATGAACAGTGGGCATTTCATTTTTATTCATCATTGATGATGACTGATGTCGAGCTTATACAGACACAAAAGTGAATGTGTGCATCACCTGATGCTTTATCGTCTCAACTTTCCTGAACCTCGACAGTGGTGGGGAGCACAGCTGTATACACATAAATGGCAAAAAACTCCGTTCCCCAAGCTTTGGGCTCCACATCCAAAAAAGGAAAAGTGACACAGGAGAAGGGAGAACTTAGCAGTGAACGGAGAGATCCGCAGCCGGACTTTAGCCTAAATTTAATTCAGAGCGGCTTGCTTCTTTTCCTTTTACCATTTTAAAAAGCTGTTAGGCTGTCGTTATGTACTAATATATAGATGGGCCTCAAAGTGGCCCGCAGAGCTTCTGTTTCACAGTAAGCCTAACAGGGTTGTTTCTCCCCCTCTACAGCCGTTCTGCTTGTATATTCATTCAAAAGGTAAAACGTTTTCAGTACTTCAGTCCCATCATTTCAGCACTGATTTAAGGTGTGCGTTGGGGCCCCCTGGTGGGACATGATGGTACTGCGGGCCGGCCACAGTAATAACAGAAATTCAGTTTGAAATTAATCACAAGTATGTACAGTTACACATTTATCTCAATTTATTTGTTTATATAAAAAGTGAGTTTTTTAAAAAGTTTTTAAACATGTAGCTTTTCCACTGAGGCAGAGCAACAAAAGTCTGTTTCCTGTTTGAGAAGACTGAGAATTTACGTTTGTTTCACAGCTAGTTGCTAGCCCCTACAAACGTTTGGACATCTATAGAACGTTCCCGCATTAAGAATATAAATGGGTATGGGATATTGTATTTGTTTTAAATGTTATATACTTGTATATGTGGTATGTGTATTTTGACTTTCGTTGCCATGAAGCCAGGTCTCTCTTGAAAATAAGATTTTTAATCTCAATGACACTTTTTACCTGGATAATTAAAGGACTAATAATAATAATAATAATAAAGTATACCCTGCTATGAATGTTTTGTAGTTCAAACTTGAAGTGTACATTTGAAAGTTGGTTCAGATGGAGCTCGGAACCTCTCTCGAGGTCATTTGGCGGCTGTTTTGAAACAAGAGGGACAAATGAATTTCCTCTAGGGCTGGGGGATATGGCCTAAAATCCATATCATGGTATAATTTGAAGCATGTGCGGTAA